CTCAGCCATATACTTACTTCTGATTTATTGTAATTCCTTTACTGTTTTGTCCCAATGCGTGAATAAGATCTGTAACAGACTGCAAATATCCCAGGGTGAAAGTGCGTGTTTTCAGGAAATAACACGTAGCTTGGTATGTTCATTAACCAATACAACTTCCAAAGGAAGAGTGTCACATACTGTCCTCAAGAACATCTTTAGGGGGAAGAAAGGAACAAACACACGGAGGCCAGCATCGTCACCTGCCTTGCCTATTTCATTTCGTCAGTCACAGTTAGCTGAACACTGACCTTTCATTTTTCTCCCGCAGAAATTTGTCCCAGAATCAGTACATTTTTTTTTCCTTTTGTGTTTCTCAAGGTCATTGTCATAGTGTGATGTATGAAATGTGGACCTGAGATCATATGAAAGCTGCCTTCCATGAAAATCATTGCTGTCTAAGGTGTGTCCAATCCCTGCTTTGCCCCGAAGTCCCTGCGCTCTGCTCTCTGCACAGGCTGGCTGAGACCTGGGTTAGGACCCATCCAATGGGAATTTCCTCGGGGAAGGGCAGTGTCGAAGGGAGGAGAAGGGGTATGGAATGGAATATTTGGGGGACGTGCCTGGGAAAGCACACTGAAAGGATGAGCACAGTCACCACCTCACTTCTATTTCTTGCTACTGTAAGAAGCCAGGATTTGGAGGAAGTTCAGGCTAAATTACTAGAGTGATTCCTGTTGTTTTGGCATTATGTTCTCAGCACTTAAATGACCAAACAGGTAACAGTATTCATCTATAAATTGAGTTAGATATTAAAATAATTCTGGAAATAATCTTATATTGCAGTGATTCTTCAACTTTATGGGATTATGAACTCCTTTCAGAATCTACCCAAGAATTATGAACTCTCTCCCCAGAAAAATGCACCTATATGGCCAATAATTTAGAGAAAACATCATTTTAGCAGCCATGAGCATTTCTCTCTTTTTTTTTTTTGGGAGACAGAGTCTCACTCTGTTGCCCAGGCTAGAGTGCCATGGCGTCAGCCTCGCCCACAGCAACCTCAAACTCCTGGGCTTAAGCAATCCTTCTGCCTCAGCCTCCCGAGTAGCTGGGACTACAGGCATGTGCCACCATGCCCAGCTAATTTCTTCTGCATATTTTTAGTTGTCCAGCTAATTTCTTTCTATTTTTAGTAGAGACGGGATCTCACTCTTGCTCAGACTGGTCTCGAACTCCTGACCTCAAGCAATCCTCCCGCCTCGGCCTCCCAAGAGTGGTAGGATTACAGGCGTGAGCCACCACGCCCGCCCCCATGAGCATTTCTCTTAAGGAGAGGTCCATTTTTGTTGCGAAGGATGTCAAAAATGTAGTTTTAACCGAAACACCAGAATCTAATAGACATAAAATTCCAAAACCAGATCATCATTTGCAGACTTTCTGAAGGAAGTTATTGGAAACTGGTTCCGCTAGTCCTCAGTTCCCTCGCCCACTTGAGACTGTAAGGACAGAGTTTGGGATTGTGAGAGATTTCTCTGGAGAGTTACCCTGCTGTGAGGACCCACACCCATGCCCAGGTGTGGGGGATTGCTGCGTCCCTCACCCTTCACCAGGGAGGGGCTTCCGTATGATCAGGAAATGTGTTTCTGTGGTTGTGCTTGTCTCCCAGCGCTGAGGCCGAAGCTAGGCTGGGGACGGGACTTTTCATGGGCAACAACAGAGATGCAGGGAGAGGGTCCATAATAGTCTGTGGTACCACCTGCTGGGGCCTGAGAGTGAGGCTATGCAGCCTGCTGAGAATCATCTATCCCCTCGCCTCTCATTCCAAATTCCCTTCTGTCCCAGTGCAGTACAAAAAAGCAGCCCGAGAGAGAGGAAGCAGGTGAGGCTGGAAGAGAGAAGTCGACCACACTCCTGTTTCTGAACCAAGGTGTCAGCAGGGAAAAGTGGAAAATGAATGAATGAATAGCGGAATGCAGATTGAAATGCTGATCACAATGGAAATGAGACTGTGCTTTTGACTTGGAGAGGACAAAGTTCTAATATGACTTAAGAAAGCAGTGGGCAAGATGTGGTGGCTCACACCTATAATCCCAGCACTTTGGGAGACCAAGGCAGGAGGATGGATTGAGGCCAGGAGTTCAAGACCAGCCTGAGCAACATAGCTAGACTCTGTCTCTACAAAAAATTTAAAAAATTAGCCAAGCATGGTGCCCTGCACTTATAGTCCCAGCTACTCAGGAGGCAGACACAGGAGGATCGCTCGAGCCCAGGAGTTTGAGGTTGCAGTGAGCTGTGATGACGCCACTGCACTCCAGCCTGGGGAACAGAGTGAGACTCTGTCTCAAAAACAAACAAACAAACAAAAGGGCAGTTGAAGATCGTGGCATCTGGGTAAGTTTCCACCCTGGGTCAGTGGAAGATTTCTGCACAGCCTCTTCCTCACCCTTTATATTTTAAAAGGGCAGTGGAACATGAAAGTAAATGTGCATTTTGACCACACGCCTCATAAGTCATGCAGTTATAGTTTACACCCACTGTGGGACAGAAGCAGAACTCCAGGCCTGCGTGAGGCTGGCCCTTAGGTTTCATGTGGAAAATGGAAGCTGCTCTGGTTAATAAACACGGGGAGGAATTGGATGTGGGAGGAGCTAGCGTGGCCCAGTTTGGGGCAAGCAGGACAGGCTACATGATCTGCAGGACCCAGTGCAAAATAAAAACATAGGATCCCTTGAATTTCACGACAGCAGCATTAGAGCATTTAACCAAGCATGGAGCTCTGTGTGACTGCAGGGATTGCACACCCGTGAAGCCACCCTGGGGTGAGTGGCAGAGGGCAGAGGAGGGGTCTTGCTGGTGGTCCAGTTAATGAAAGATGTGAGAGACTTTCCCAGGGAACTGCAGTAGGATGTGATCCCCTCCTCCTGATCCCACAAATCCTCAGCAAAATCGTGAACTCCACATAGACTTACGTGGATGGACTTCTTGTGGAAGCTGGGTGGGGCCCAAACAGAGTAAGCCAAGTAGATAGGGGACAGGCGACACCTGGTTATTCAGCTAACATTTTCCACAAATGCAGGGGTTTAGGTTAAGAACCCATGTTCTATGACAAGGTATTTCCCTATACTATCAAGAGAACAAGTGGCCTTAGTTTATTTATTATTGTAGCAGGATGTTGCACGATGTTTTCTCTATTGCCCAGAATTGGTGACTGGAGACCAAATCTGGAGATACAGAGGCACTAACTACCTGACATTATAAAGAAAACCATGGATGGCAGGAGCCGGACACCCTCTTTGTGGTCGGCTAAGAGACAGCAGAGCCACAGCCGTGCCCCTCCCAGAAATGCAGTGGGGTGAGGTTGGCCTGAAGGGGGCCTGCAGTGGCAGCCTCTGCCCCCGAAGACATGGAAGAGGGGTTCCTAGCAAGCCATTGGTGGAGAGTGAGGTCATGACTGCATGCTGGCACGCCACCTCTGACCAGCTGTTTGCTTAGGGCCCGCCCCCGCCCCTCCTAAACAGGGCAAAGCAAGTGGAGACGAATGGGGGGCAGCGAGGGGCACCTGCAGCCCGCCCTTGGCACAGCTGGGTTGTCTGCATTTTCTATGCCTCACGTGGCAAGTGGGAAGGTCGCTGGCTTGAGCCTTTCTGGCAGTAAGAGGCTGGGGGGAGTGCAGATGAGGCGAGGGTAGTTGGGAGAGATCAAGTAGCACCCTGGTCCCCCAACTTGGTGACCTGGGTGGCATGCAGGCCCCTGTGCGGCTTCCCGAAGAAAGCACTCGTAGAAGCTGCAACTTTACATGGAGAGGAGAAGACAGCCTCTCTTGACCCCCCGACCCCACCCCTCCCTAGTCCACCTGCACGCCCTGGGGAAGATAGGAGGGCAGATGGTTTTCCAGGGCCTACTGTGTTCCCTCCTACCACCCTACCTCTGAGGTGAGAGATGGGAGGGAAAGAGAAAGAGCAGGCCTCGCCCTTTTCCCACTTTGGGTCTTTCCAGCCACCAGCCCAGCCAGCAATGGCGGACGGGACTCTTGGATATGAGGTTGGTGTCTTCAGCTGGACTTGATGGAGTTTCTTAATATCAAGAAGTGACTGAGCAAGTTATAGAATCTATCAGGGGTATTGTTAAGGGATCTCTACCCAGCAAGGGAGGGAGATTCAACACGGCCCAGCTGGGGGCATGATGGGAGAAAAATAAAACCGTTTCCTGTGTGTACTCCATGGAGTGGAGATTATTCAATAAACAAGTTACATCTGATTAAGGACTTCATATTCTTAGGCCTAAAGTCGAATCCCTGTGCATTTGTGTTGTGGTGTGCTGAATTTATAAATTATTACTTGAAGAATGGCCAGCTTTTTCTGCAAATCAAAAACTTGAGATATTAAGTGAGCAAAAAGGAGACACAACAGAAGCACATTTCTGATCTGGATAGAGGAGACACTAAGAGAGGTCACTAATAGTTGCCTTTTTCTTTTATCTCCCTAAACTCTTAAGAGTTTCCCTTATCTTGTAATATTACACAGAGGTCAGGTTTTAAATTTCAATCTATCACAGATTCACTAACAGTTGAGTCAATGGAAAAAAACGTGTGTATAAAAACATGTTTATGAGAGATTTGTTATCCTTGTTCACTTATTTGTCAACCATGTTATTCTGTTAAATTATTTAATTTTCATCATAATGTTTGCCAGGCTACTCTTCCATGTAATTTTTTAAAATTAAGTGTTAACTGTGCCCATGGTTTTTATATAGGTTAGTGATGTGGTTTTTTTCTTTCTCTTTCTCTTTCTCTCTCACCAGATATTTCTTAAGAATTTGCAATGCTCTTTTTATTCAGACAAAAATGATTTCAACTTTATTACAAGTATTCTTTAAATTTTTTTTATAACTTTCAAGATACTAGCTGTACTGATAAGGAAAAATTGCCGTCAGTGATACATAACTCATCAAGCAGGTGTAGCCGCTCTTCCTTGTCTTCACTACAGAGCTGTCTGGATTACAGGCCACAACTTTATACCATCTTAAGGGACAGGCTTCAGATTTCTTATTTTTCTTGTTTCAATTCTGCATCATCTATTTTCTTGAATACCAGTCTCCTAAAATGGAAGCAGTACAAAATGTTCTCATCCATCAGCACAACAGCACGCAAGAACATATGAAAATACAAGCTATGATCTTAATTGCCTAATTATACTTGAGTTGAATCGTGTCGCACTTGAAATGAATGAGATATGGATGGGATGCTGAGTTTGTGATGGGCACTCAGGCTTGAAAACTTACCACTGAGTCATCTCTCTCCCTCACTACCGCCTTACTCCTAACAGCTGATTAGTTGCCAAATTCTGCCTCTGTATAACCTCCCAGGACCTCAGCAGAAATGTCAGTGGTTCTCCCTCTCCTGATGAATGATGCCCCAAGTCCTCGCCCCACCGTAAATGTCTGCACTCTCTGCTCTGACTCTATCCACCTCACCCTCTTTCCTCTCCTCTTCATGTAGTCTTTGCTCTTTCCAAACTGAGCCTCAGCTGTTCTTGGCTCACCTTACTTTCATGCCTTTGCTTATTATACTCTTCTCTTTGCCTGAAAATGACCTCTCTTCTCTAGTGAGTATTTCAAAGGCAGAGTCCCACATTTGGAGACATGCTCTTTTTTCTGACCCTCTGTGGGACCTTATTAGTGCCTCTCTTATTTCATTCATTCTAGCAAATATTGAAGGCTTACTACGTGACAGACACAGTTCTAGGTGGATATCGCACTGTGATATATGTTATGGGATTTATGGAACTGAAATTTTAGTAAAGGCGATGGACCCTAAATATATGTCAGATGGGGGTAAGTACCATGGAAAAAAATAAAGCAGGGGTTTTCTGAGAAGGCGTCAGATAAGGTAGTAGTCTGCCACATCACATTCTACTTTGTATCAAGAAGAATTTTTTTTAAAAATATACTCTCTGCTAGAAAATAAGTAGGTAGCTTATTAATTTTTTAAATCTCTTGTAGTACCTTACACTCTGATGTGTACATAGTAGATAATAAATACTTCTTAATTAATACAAAGAATGATAATAACAGGATGTATTTATAAAATGAGATCCAGAAAAAAGAAAAAAATTTGATTAATAGTTATGGAAGAAAACCTTAATTTGAGACCTGGGTTATTGAGATGGTGTCCTTGGTACGTGAGGACACCTCTCTCATGTTGGCGGGGTCAAATGTCAGACAGTAGTCTGCCATTGCATGGGCTAAAGAATAGTGAGATTGATGTCATATATGCAGCGTAGGGAAAGCCATCTCAGGACTTTACACCTAGAGCCGTACTGGTTATACCTGACCTAATAGTTCTCAATTTATAGGTATTTAGTTCCTTGTGTGTTTGCCTTTCTCCTTCTAAGAAACTTACTTCCTTAGAAACTTGTTTTGCAAAGATGTAGTCATTTTAAAAGTTTCTGGACCAGCTCTACACAACTACCCGTACACTTTGGTTTTCAAGTATTTACCTTGGTTGTTTTTGTTCAGGATGCTGGATTTCTTGATGCTGGCAGGTCATAGAGTAAAGTAACTCACTGACAGAGGGTGAATGCATGGATCGTTGGCATAAATCACTCAGTGTCTTGGAGACACTTTTAGCTGTTGTCATTCTTCCAAACCTTTGGGGCATATTAGGGACACATCTCGAGATGCTTGCCTTCACATTCCTTCCAAATCTCAGAGGCAGGTTGGCTGTCACCCTGGTGCTTCTTTCTTCTTGTGTGGTCCTCCCAAATCTCAATGGCAAGTTGGCTGCTGAAGGTGGCATTTTGTTGACTGTAGGTGTACTCATCTTAATGACATTTTTTGGTCCCCAATCTTTTAATTCTTCAAAATTGAGATTCCTTTCCTTTTCCCCTTTTCGGTGTCCTCTAGGCTATCATTAGAAATGACCATTACAGTAATGTATTATTCTTATAAGCAATAGATTTAAACCTCAAATTAACTTAAATCTAGACTTTAATCTACAGGATTGTTAAAGCTATAAACAAAGTTTGTGTTCTTATGTGCAGAATTTTTTAATAAATAATTTGTATTAAGCTTCTTAAAGCAATCTAGTTTCT